TGGTACTAGACAATCCAGTATACTTGTACGTAAGAGATCTTTATAGTTTGCGTCGTTAGATGGTACTTAAGGGGCCTCTTGGTACTAGACAATCCAGTATACTTGTACGTAAGAGATCTTTATAGTTTGCGTCGTTAGATGGTACTAAAGGTGCCTGTTGGTACTAGACTATCCAGTATACTTGTTACCATCACATGGTAGGAATGAGACCTTTATAGTTTGTGTCATTAGATGGTACTAAAGGGGCCTGTTGGTACTAGACAATCCAGTATACTTGTTACCATCACATTGTAGGAATGAGACCTTTAGTTTCTATGTTTACCTCCACCACCAAAGGTTATGTTTTTCATCCCTGTGTGTGTGTGTGTTTGTCCGTAAGATTTCTTGAAAACAGGCGAATCGATTTAGATGAAAGTTGGTATACATTTGAACTATGACCCAACTTAGTAGTAATTAGTTTTTGGAGGGTCTAGGTGACGAAAATAAAAAAACTCCTTATCTGTTAACATGGGGAACAATTGTTCACACTATTTTTGCTCTATGACTCAGTCAAAAATGACTGGATTTTGATGAAACTTTGTGGACCTAATTAGAATATTATTTCTCAATGTCCTGCCAAAAATAGTCCGAGTCCATTGATAACGATGGACATACAGACACATTTTCGTATTTTCTGAGGGTCAAATATGATCAACACTGTGTGGTGGAAGTATGCACTCTACTGAGTGCCCCTCTAGTTTTAGATGGTACTGTTGTTTTGTTAAAGTCATGAATGGTACTTGACAATCCAATATTCTTAGAACTAGACACCAGTATTAGTATACTTGTTACCATTATATGGTAGGAAGGAGACCTTTAGTTTCTATGGTGATAAAGGGGCCTATTGTTGGATATTAATGGATGGTACTCAAGTCCTTTGGAAAACGTTAAATGTATAACTTTTTAATTTTACCTAGAGTCTCCCAAGATATGTTGCTAGTTGTTATCACAGCAAAGGAATACTTGTATTTAGTGAAACCACTTATGGTATTATGTAGTTAAATTTCTGTGCTGCTCTAAGTAAACTAGTGGTTTTCATTCTTATTGCTTAATAGGATATTCTGGTCAGAGAATACAGTGACAGGTTTATAAATGACACTTCTAATGCTATGAATATACAGAAAATGTTATTTATTTTTAAGTATGTACAGATAAAAAAAGACGTACATATCAACTACTGGGTGGTGATCTACCGAGCCAAGAAAAACAAAATATGAAATATACATGATAAATAATATAATTAAATAAAATTAATTTCCTAATTTCATCTATATCACAGGTAAAGATATTACAAGACATAATTAAAAAAATTACAATGACAGATCTACATACATGAATATTTTGGATACTACATAAATATCTAGAAAACATTTAAGAAACAGAAAAGCTATTTTTTTACTAGCATTCAACAGGCCTGTAAAAATTGTCCTAATAAATGTAACATGTTTTGGTAAGCACTTATTTTGTATATTTCTACATTTCTCAAATGTTAGATGTTTTACAAGCCATGAGATGCAGTCATGAGAAAGTATTTATTTTTTGTGAAATTATTTTATCTATTTTCATGCTAGAAGAGTCGAATACTGGCCCAAACATAGACTCTCCTAACTACAAGTATGGAGTCCCATTGCAGCACGTTTGTCAGTGTGCAGTCCAATAGAGTTGTGAAATTCTTCAGAATTCATATTTATAACTAAATATGATTTGTATCAAAGCCAAAAAATTATGTTACTTTTATACCCAAAAAGTAATGTAAATAATTAGGATGCGATAAAAATATCTGAGAATTTCTGTGAAGATATAAATACTGCCTGCTGATTCATTGGTACTCTTATGTTGATATGGCTTGGTGACACAGAGACTGATTTAAATGTGCCAGTTTCTCGATAAAAATATGGTAGGTAGGGAAGCTAGTATTCCTTTTCTTCCTTAAGTAAATTGAAAAATAACAGCTATATATAACTACTTGCAAAATTATACGAGAACTTTAGGAATCCTGAAAACAAAAACTATAATCTAGGTACCGTTGTCTGAAAATGGCCATTTTTCTTCTCTTTAGCTGCTATCCACTGTACCATGCTATTTCAACAATAAACTAATAAATTAAACCAATCATGAATTATAATAAATGTTTACAGCACTGGTCTTTAACAAACCACAAATGTTAAGACAATCTTTTACTTTCATTAAAATGTGTGTAGTTAATGACTTATGAGCATTGCTAAGCCTAAGAAAACAGCAGGTGTTGGAATGAAGTACATGGCATGGTCATTCACTTTGATCTGCTCGTCATGTGGGTATCGAAAATACTACTTGTCCTCAAGTAGCTTCTAACTTCTTTGTCTGACGAATGAAGAAATAGGTAAGGTTTGTTGGCAGGTAGCCAAGATTGAGCTGATAAAACTCGACGAGCTGTAAAAGGTCGTAAAACTTTGTTTTTCCACCATCTAGAGTGTAACATAGTTGATTCTTCTCTTCCATCTTGTTAAAAAAAAAAGGAAGTTATGCTTGTAATACTTGAAGTTACTCTTTCAAACTAGGATTGTTATACTAAGTAATACAAATGGGTCTAAAATGCTTTGACACAGGATTCATTGATGTGTAGTTGGGCAACATTATAGAAAAAACCCGACTTGGAAAGAACATTTGAAATATTATTTTGTGCAGTGACAGTTCAAGGGATCAAAAGAAGGCCATCCCCCCCTCCCACAAAGATTTTGAACTAATAGAATATTTCTTATTTTTTATATTAAGACCTATATTATATTTGGGTATAAAATTCTTTAAAAAATTTGATTTTTGTAGCAAAAAATTGGCTTCTCTTGGTAAGAGATGCATAGCAGTTGTATCTCTCAGCTCTTATTTTTTTCTGTAATTGTAATGAAATGGCCAAGCCTTCTTATCGGGTTTAACAAGAATTTTATGAACAGACACAAAGCTAATGGATCCAATCAGCATCTTAAATTTAAAAATAACCAATCACAATAAGGGGATCAGGTAGGCCTCACCCACAAGGTCGTGGTGATAAAGGACTAACATAAATGTGATGATTATGTGACTATTTAGTGTTTTTAAAGATACAAACAATTAAAAGGGTGTTTCATTAAACGATGTGCTGTGACTCGATTAAAAAGTGCATCAATTTATTTTGACTTGGAGGTAATTTTGGAGTTTTAAAGTTCAGACCTTGTGTGGCATGACAATGGTTAATGGTTACGAACACATTTACCGCTACAATAAATAAATCGAGACACTTAAAGTACCTGTTTTACTTTGTCCTCCTCCTCAATATTAACTGAGAACCACCTCTGATTTTATGCACTAAGTTACGTAACTCTCCTTATTAATATATTATCGTACAATACACACAAACACATAGTATTCAACAACAAACTGCATTTAAAATTTATCCTTACTAAATGTAGAAAGTTCAATACACTATATCATTAAAATGAACGATGTCACACATTTGATCACTGAGTGTAAACAATGTGTTGTTAAGGTATTATGAGATAGTAATCGTTCCTCTAAAACACAATACACACCACCAGGTGATGCTGAAAATTTGTTATATTTTAATAGCTCAAAATGCATCTTCAGGCAGTAGCAATGTTCACTCATTAAAAAATGCAATATTCACCACCAGATAGTGCTGACACAGTTTTTTCTCCTTAAAAGATCAGCATACACTATTATGGTAGTTTTCCATGAAAAGCACAATACACACCACCAGGTGGTGCTAACAGAGTATTCTCCTTGAAAGATCAAAACATACTTCAGGCAGTAATGATTATTCATTAACAATGCAATATTCACCACCAGGTGGTGCTAACAGATTGTTTTCTTTTTAAAGGATCAGTACACACCATTATGGTGGTATTCCTTAAAAGTATTATAAAGAAGGTGGCAACAGTGCGTTTGTCCTTTTTATAAAATTTTAAGTAACCAGAAAGATTGGGGAACGGTGTGCTTTATTATAAAAATATGTAAAACGAATACATAATTTTTAACTAACCATTCTAACTGCAAACACAGGAAACAACAGTGTTTTTAATGCTTAAATAATTTTAACTTACCGGAAGGATTTGGGTATGGTGCACTTTCCGATTGTAAACGTAGGACAAGACAAAGCTAGCAGGATTTCGATGACTTTCTCGTACTAAAAATACTCTTGAAAGGGAGAAGAAAAAAATATGGTGTGATTCTAGCTGAAAAGGTAATTCTAGAAATAGAGATTTATAATACTCCACCAATTACAGATTTAACAAAAACTAAAGCAACTTTTATTTGACTACATAAAAATCGTTTATAATACTCCACCAATTACAGATTTAACAAAAACTAAAGCAACTTTTATTTGACTACATAAAAATCGTTTATAATACTCCACCAATTACAGATTTAACAAAAACTAAAGCAACTTTTATTTGACTACATAAAAATCGTTTATAATACTCCACCAATTACAGATTTAACAAAAACTAAAGCAACTTTTATTTGACTACATAAAAATCGTTTATAATATGCCACCAATTACAGATTTAACAAAAACTAAAGCAACATTTATTTGACTACATAAAAATCATTTTAGTTGTTTTTAATATATATATTTTTTTACACCAACATTGTAGGAATCACTTATTAGTTTTCTTGTTATGTGGAAAAAAAACTTTCATATTTCATACCAACAGCTCAATTACAAATTGACTAGTACCTATGAACATCTAACTTAGTGTTTATTTACAGAATTGAGAAATAAAACACAGACAATTGTACGTTTCAGAAAAACTTAATTTATTAACAAACCCTTTACTGACAAAACTATGGTCGTTAATAAATGAAGTTTTTGTGAAACGTACAATTGTCTTTGTTTTTTTTTACTCAATTCTGTAATTATGGAGTATCAATGTTTATTTACATATTGTTAAATTAATTTTACTGTTATAACTTAGATGAAGACAGTGAACAATAAGTTTGTAGTTTTTCTTGGAGCTCTAGGTTTGTTGAAGAGATGATAAATGTACTGTGATTGTGGAGCACATTTTGTGAGCCTCTTGTTTTACTGTGGTAATTTCTAGTACTAATGGATCACGTACATGATTGTTCCTTCTTTACCATTTTGTAGCAGGAGAGACTGGTTACAAAACTTGTCTTCACAATTATTTTGCTAGAAAAATGTGGGAGTTTGAATTATTAAAAGTGCCTTGCTAGTAACAGTTAGTGAGTTAACCCTTTAGCTCAGCTGTAGAGCTCTTGTTTGTAGTGTGAGCATTCCAAGGTTCCAATCCTGCTTGAGGAATTACTACTGAAAAATTAGAGATCTTATCCCATGACCCTGGGATAAGACCCCAGGACAGGTCATGTTTGTGAAGGGTGAAAGTTTGAGTTGTTATAAACTGTGTTTTTAGCAGTAGTTAGTGAATTAACCCTTTATTTCAGTTGACAGGGAATTGAGTTGTAGTGAACATTCTTCTGGAGCTAAATTCTGCTTGAGAAAGATGCAAAAAAGTGGCTTAAATATGTCTGTGCAATTGCGGATGTTCCCGGCCAAATGGGAGCCTGACAAACATATGGGACCCAACTACTTTCTATGTACTGGCTGCTCATCATATACTAACTCACCCATCCACAGTGCCATATTTTGTTAAAAGCTGAGTTGGCTCATCTCTCGACATTCCAGTATAAAACCATGGCTGAACAGTATGAACACCAAATTCAAAAGTTGAGTGTGTTGAAGACTGTGAGATTTGATTGGAAGCGAGCTTTTTCTGAAAATTGAAAACATGAGTCA